AGAGGGTTGTGTTTTCTGACACTTGGTGAGTTCCCTGGAACACCGGGGACACATATTCATGTGTAAAAGACGTACAAAAGTGCATTTTGCATGATAGGTCCCCTTTAAACAAAGATTATTTCACTTAACAAGATGATGCATTGTCTAAAAACAAGACCTGATATCTCACTGCAGTGTTACTTCTGAAGTTATGATGTCTTATATCAGGTGTAGAGACATATTCTGACTAGATGTTAGACACATATACTTGGCAAGATTTCGAGTTTTTGTAGTGTAGCTAATAAACAATACTCTATTTCTGTTCTACATCCACAGATCTACCAAAATTCAAACAATAGTTGCTTTGTTGTGCATCAAATGTGAGGCATGTGTGACTGTTTGACTCGGACATTAGATCGTTTTGCTGAACTGAGATGAAAGAACACATTTTAATATTTAAACAAATGTTGATCCCATTTCTGAGAAGTTCTGAATCAAGCAACAGGTGTCAGTTTATACTCATCTGCAATTCATTTTCATTTGGACTGCCATGAAATGAATAATGCAGTGTATTTACATCGAATAAAAACACTTTTCGTGTGCGGTAACATTCTTCTGCTGCACTGAAATAATCCAAATGAAAGAAACGTTATCACATTTGCAGACGTCATGGTTAGTAATGAACACAGTCAGTATGTGACATCGATTATCTGTGCTTTCCAAATGAAAAATGCTTTGGTTTTGCATTCAGACATAAGCTTTCTAAAGTCTGCACACGTCCAAAGGGTTACGTTTATGATGCACTCAGTCCTGAATTGTTGATAACCAGACTCATCCTCTCAAATAAAGAGGTTGACAGTCTCAGAAAATTGTGAGTTTTGTGCCACTTCAAGACCTGAAATGAACATGTGAACTGCTTTAAGGACAGTGTGCATCTGCAGTGCGTTCACATGAGATCCTATACCGACTGATGGATGGATTTATTGACTGATTGATCGACTGAACGAGTGAAATCTCAGCCTTCGCTCCATTATCCATCCCATTATCCTCTCTCTCAACACTCTGAGCTGCAGGCTGCAGATTACAGCCGCTCTCATCTGGATCTCATCAGCTTTCAGGCCGGCTCGCTGGTTAAAAGCTTATTTTTCATTCAGGAGAAACAAAAGGGGGGTTCAGAGTGATTTAGGGTCACGCTGCATGAGGCCGGAGGAAAATAAAAGCAACTCCATGTCTTCAGGGGGGGGCGAGGAGAAGAAGGAACAGCACGCCGACTTCAGGACAGAAGTTCTTCGCTTTTCTACGTGTGTGTGTGTGTGTGTGTGTGTGTGTGTGTGTGTGTGTGTGTGTGTGTGTGTGTGTGTGTGTGTGTGTGTGTGTGTGTGTGTGTGTGTGTGTGTGTGTGTGTGTGTGTGTGTGTGTGTGTGTGTGTGTGTGTGTGTGTGTGTGTGTGCAGCAGTGTTTCCTCTCTGTAATGTCTGTAACATGTGCTGGATCGTTACGGGATGACTTTGCCAAACACCATAAATCCATTTGTGGAGGAATTGTTTCCCAATATTCCTCGTTGCACAACGCCGTCGTAAAAAACCCCAAAAAGAACTGCATCTCCTGACCTGTTACGAGATGACATCACAGAGTCAGACACTGGAGGGGAGGTCGTTGTTTTAATAGTTTTGAATGTAGGTTATCTGGTCAGAGTTCAAGTCCTGGAGAGGGAACACAAACTGATATAATAAAAGTACAAATGGAGCCTGATGGGAGCTGTTATTTCACACGTAGTTAAATATATGTATCATATTTTAACGTGGACTAAGGAAGGAACCAGAAGCCGGCAGACAGGAAGTGAGCATCTGGAAGTCAGGGGTGTCCAAACTACGGCCCGGGGGCCAAATCCGGCCCGCGAGCCATTTTGAATCGGCCCTCAGCTAATTCAAAAAGTATAGTGAAGCCCACAAATTAAACTTGTGCTTGTCTTATATTTTGTAAGTATATACGCTCAAATATATTACACAGTATTCATGTGTTAGTTTTTAAAACATGTTCTAACAAATTTAAGTTGACTTATTTACATATCAAGCTTGAAATAGACCCTTCATGTTTCCTCTTATGATGAGCAATCTGAGGCTTCTGTTTTAAGGGATGATCTGCTAACACATTAAATGAAACCCTATAGAGAGCTGGGATAGGGTTTTTGTTTCTTAAAGCATGTTCAAGCATCAACATTTGATTGATTTTGCTAACTTATAACTTAACTTATGAGGCGATAAACCTCACCTATACACTGGAGAAAATGCTGCTCCAAAAACGAGTAAATATATAATAAAAACAAGGTGTTTTCTCTTTTAATAAGTGAACAAATCTGCCAATAGAACAAGTACAAAATGGCTTGTTAAGATTTCTGGAAGTAAAGATGGGATAATTAGATAAATGACATCTTGTGTTTAGCTGGGAGAACTTATTGAACTATATTTGACCAGAATTGGGGAATTTGTAACAAAAAAAGACAGAAATGTTCAGACGCTTTCTGTTTCCTGATGTTAGTTGGAGATGTTCCTAAAAAATAAGATGTCTTTAAGAGACTTTGACTTAAAAAGATGCTTAAGATGCCTTGTCTAAAAACAAGACTGAAGTTATTAAGTCTTATATCAAGTGTAACGACGTATTAGACAAATATACTTGGCAAGATTTGCAGTGTAGTGAGCGGCCCAGCGCTTCGTATATCTTTCTGCATGTGGCCCTCGGTGAAAAGGGTTCGGACACCTCTGGTCTAAGTGTTTGCAGAAACTCTACGATAACCATCAGGGTTTCAATACATCGCGCCAAGCATTGACCTTTTCTATGATGAGCTTAGGAGTGATGCAATAAACCATACTTGACAATAGCCACGATATTTAAAACAATAATATATTAACTTTAAACATCATCCTAATTAACCCCCAAATAGGCTCTAATGGTAAATAACGCTCATGAACACATCTTATGCTAATTGCCCAACATGCAAGTGAGCATCCTGGAGTTTCTATGTGCTGTGGATCTATACTACTCATTTCTATCCTCAGCATTTCTCATCACCTCTGCCTCCTCTCGTATTCCCACATGTTGAGCAACGCCTGTTTGTTGCTTCTCTGCCATCTTTCTGGACTCTTCCTCTTCATCAGATTCAGCTTTGAAGCTTCTCTTCTCTCATGTTTGGTTTCAATGTTCTCCACACCACATTTTCACAACTATATGCACGTGTGTCTCGGTCTACTTTTCAAACAAACTCACTCTCTGTGGTCCAGCTGGGCTGAAAAAGAAAGGGACGTGTGCAAAAACTGTTGTGCATGTAGTTAACACCTGTACTGTTGCATAGGGAGTTTATAATATCTTACATTTGTAACATACACTAATGCTGGTTAATCACATCTAACCCTCCTGTCGCGCTCGTTCCCCCCCTTACTCTGGTGTTCCCGGTGAAATATGACTTTTGACTGCTCTTACTTTAACACAAAAGCCATTCATTATCACCACCATATAATTCAAAAACCCTTTAAAGCTTTACACAATGTCTCAGACGACTGGTTTATATGAATACCTGCAGGGACTGAACAGAGAAAAGACTGAAAGTGTTTTCCCCAATTCACATTTTGTCCATTTTTGGGTTACCCATTCATTTCCTATGACTGCTATCATCATGGGTGTTACAACGATGACTAAACCACTCAAAAATCAATGAAAGCGTTGATCAGTAATTGCATATGTTCAAATGCCGACTGGAGGATATCATGAGGCCTTGAAGCAAAGGTACACGTTCTGTTCTATATATCTATGTATCGTCTTTTTGAGTCATTCACCTCATCCATGCAGAGCAGCACCACTTGCTCTAGGGAACACACACACTCACACACACACACACACACACACACACACACACACCAACACACCCACACCACACACACACACACCCACCACACACACACCCACACACCACACACACCCACCCACCCCCCACACTCACCACACACACACAACCACACACCCACTCACACACACAACACACTCACTCACCACACACCAGCATACCACTCACACACACCACCCCACCCACACACACCCCACCACTGCTCACACACCCCCACCACCCACTCCCACCCACTTACCCCACTCCCAACACACACACCCTCACACCACACCCCCCCCCCACACACCCCCCTCGTTCCCCCCCGCTCCCCACCACCATTACACCCCACCCCCCCCCCACCACCACACACAACACCCCACCCCCGCCCCCCCACCCGCACCCCACTTTCACGTTCCCCACACTCACACCCCCACCCACTCTCCCCCCCCCCCCCCCACATCTCGCCTCCCCCCACCACTCTCACACACACACACACACACACACACACACACACACACACGGTCACGGTCACACACGCACGCACACACACACACACACACACTCTCACACACACACACACACATGCTCACACACACACACTCTCACACACACACACACACACACACTCACACACACACACACACACATATGCACTCACACACACTCACACACTCACACACACACACACACACACTCACACACACACACACACACACACACACACACACACACACACACACTCACACACGTTTAACTTCATGGCTCTGTGCTGCTAACAAGGTGAATGGTTGCAGGCAAGAATTAGACGCATATCCACCTGATTAAAAGAACATTTCTTATTTTTACGTTGTGTTTTTGTAACCAAGACAACACATTTTAATCAATAGGTGCTAGAGAAGCCTACGGATACACATTTTGTTTACATTTAGAAAGTGTCATGCTAGATGTTTCCACTTTTCCAGCCTATATTCTGAGATAACTGAGTTCATTGATCAAACATGAGACTGATATTATCATCTAACTTTGTGCAAGTCTTTTCCAAAGCTATTCCTTTCACTATGATAGGCTGAATGCATGGCCCTGTTGATGCCCACATGTTGATATTAATACAAACATCTGATTATGTTTGTGTTGTTTTCTTCAGGAGGAAATGCTGTGACGGGTTCAGGTTTGTGATGGGCCAGTGCGTTCCTGAAAGTAGGTCAACCAAACACACCATGCTCTATATGTTGCTCATTGTATCTCACATCTGAATCACAGAATCCAAATATAATCTCTCCACCACAGCAGCTGTTTGTAGATGAGAACAAGCTGCACTAAACTCAGCCTGGAGACACATTTCTCCCTGTGGACCTCCAGAGAAGTCCACATAATGAACGAGGGAGAAACTGCCCACATGTGCTGTAAATAAATGTGTAATTGTGATGATTGGACTTATATAATCATGATCAGGATGTCTTATAACTGTCCTGACAAATTGATTTAGTGTCTACAGTGAAAATATAGACTTTAGTGTGTCTCCAGAGAGTCAAAGTGATTAATTTCAGCCACTAGAGGGCGCTGTTTCTCCATGAACACACAGAGAACAATACATATACTGTATGTAGTCAAAAGTGATCAATAATTATCTCCTGTTTTATGTAATTTAACCGATTTATTTCCCTTTTTTTGGTCCCAGGAAGAGGCTATGATAAGACTGCATGGGTTAGATAATATATATATATATTTTGGTTCATTCTTTATATTTAAAAGGCCTTCTTTTACAGCAGACACTTTGGCTATGTTTTATAATATAGTGTTCATGTATGTAAGTGTGTCCACATTTCTGAAACTAAGTGTGAAACTTTTCCACTGCAGTAAAACTAAATTGTCCATGGGTGTAGAACACATCCTGATCCCATAATGCAATGTAATTGATACCATGCTGCACCTGCCAGTGACGAAGGAACAGTAATTATGATTCATAACAAAGTGTCACATTGGATTCAGCAGGGAGGAGTCAAGAGGGGAGCAACCTGTGTGTGCAGGTGTTTCAAGAGTCCCCAACGCCATGAACATCTTTTTCATTTATTATTTACACCTTAGCTTTTTCTACTTCATGTCAAAATGTCTCCTGTGAGTAAAGGCCTTTGTGGAGCTGGTGATAAAGACTGGAGAGATTCATGATGAGGACTTTTAGTCTCTCTCGTGTGTGTCCGTGCGTGTGTGTGTGTGTGTGTGTGTGTGTGTGTGTGTGTGTGTGTGTGTGTGTGTGTGTGTGTGTGTGTGTGCGTGCGTGCGTGCGTGCGTGAAAACATCATAACATGAATCATCTCTCTCTCTCTGTGTGTGTGTGTGTGTGTGTGTGTGTGTGTGTGTGTGTGTGTGTGCGTGTGTGTGTGTGTGTGTGTGTGCTTGTGTGTGTGTGTGTGTGTGTATGCGTGTGTGTGTGTGTGTGTGTGTGTGTGTGTGTGTGTGTATGCGTGTGTGTGTGTGTGTGTGTGTGTGTGTGTATGCGTGTGTGTGTGTGTGTGTGTGTGTGTGTGTGTGTGTGTGTGTGTGTGTGTTGTATGCGTGTGTATGCGTGTGTGTGTGTGTGTGTGTGTGTGTGTGTGTGTGTGTGTGTGTGTGTGTGTGTGTGTGTGTGTAGCTGTAGATGTGTGTGCAGCGTCTCCCTGTGAGCAGCAGTGTACGGATAACTTTGGACGGGTCGTCTGCACGTGTTACCATGGTTACCGCTTCGACCGGGAGAGACACCGGAGCCACAAAAGTCCGTACTGCCTCGGTGAGTACTCTGATACTTTACTGAAGTATAAGTACTCAGAGCATGTACTTGAGTCAAATTTGAAGTACTCAGATCCTGTACTGAAAGTAGAAGTACTCAGATCTTGTACTTGAGATAAAATAAAAGTACTCAGATAAAAATATAAATGAATAAGCATATGAAGAAGTAAGTAAAAAGTGAAGTAGGTCAAGTATACGATAAGGTCAAATTAGATAATAAAAACAATAAAAAAAAATATTTATAATTTGATGTTTCTCTTGATCCCTGCAGACATTGATGAGTGTGAGCAGCCGGACAGCAGTGTGTGTGATCAGGAGTGTGTGAACACGGTGGGCAGCTTCCTGTGCCGTTGCCATAGCGACTACATCCTGGCACCGGACCAGCGCTCCTGCATCCCTGTGCACAACTGTGAGTTTCTGATAAAAATGTACCAGCTAACTCAGAATCAGAAAGCTTCTCTAGGACTTAAAGGTCCCCTATCATACTGTTTCTCATCAATATATTACAGGTCTCAGATATACAGAACATGTCTCTGAAGTGTTTGTCTGAAACACCAAACAGATCATTGCAGCATCCCATAATCCCCTCTGTTTCAGCCCTGTTTCCAAAGTGCTGATTCTCTGTCTGTTACTTTAGATGAAAAAAAGGAGCCCCTCCCCACGCCCCTCTGAGAGAGATTTGGTTAAAAAGAACACAATAGGCGCTTTCACACCGGAGTTCTTTTCCCAGGAATAGTTCCGATAGTTCCTGGGATTTTGCGTTCACACCGAAAAGATCTGGAACTAGAACTTTTTTTTGCGAACCTTTTCACCCCTTTTTAGTCCCTGCTAGAGAGCAGGGACTTTCCTGGGGAGAAAAAGGTTCCAATTTCTGATTGGCTGGGCGGATTGCAAACCACGCCCCGTAAAAATCTGAAGCCGCCATTTTATTTGCTCGCGTTAGCATTATTAGCATTAGCATTAGTCCAGCGCACCAACGGAGAGAGTCTAACTTATGGCAACACAAAAGAAAACATGGGAGCGGTGGAGATGAGGAGGTGTCGGCGTTCTGGCGATTTACTCGGAATGCTTCAGTAGAAGCTGCTGGGAGTCCCAGCAGCTTCTACTGAAGCCAGTCCCCGACTTCCGGCCGGGGACTTCGGGTGGCAGTATACGCCGTGAAGTTGTTTGCGGCCTGCCAGTAAACCCAAAGCAGAAGAAGAAGAAGTGACGTCAGCGGCTTCATTTGCATAATCTTCCCTCAGGAACTTATTCTGGTGTGAACGCGATCTGCTAGATAGTTCAGGAATTAAAGAGTTCCGGGGACTATTGCTGGGAAAAGTACTTGGTGTGAAAGCGCCTAATGGTGCTCTAGGAGGAGATTCAGGTGATAAGGTGGGGGGGGGTTACCTTGGTTGGTTATTGGCTAATGGTTACACAAGCCAAAAAATCATGATGACATCATAAAGTAGCCAAAATCTGATCAGCTGATTTTCAGACAGGTTTTTATAGAAATGGATCAGGACAAAAAGTGAGAGAATCTTTTTTCCTGAAACTTTCAGAATCTCTTTACACAGAGGGGACACATGTTGATGTAGAAGAGACATGAAGAAGAGGGGACACATGTTGATGTAGAAGAGACATGAAGAAGAGGGGACACATGTTGATGTAGAAGAGACATGAAGAAGAGGGGACACATGTTGATGTAGAAGAGACATGAAGAAGAGGGGACACATGTTGATGTAGAAGAGACATGAAGAAGAGGGGACACATGTTGATGTAGAAGAGACATGAAGAAGAGGGGACATGTGTTGATGTAGAAGAGACATGAAGAAGAGGGGACACATGTTGATGTAGAAGAGACATGAAGAAGAGGGGACACATGTTGATGTAGAAGAGACATGAAGAAGAGGGGACACATGTTGATGTATAAAAGGCATAAACAAGTGGATTTTGCACAATAGGTGACCTTTAATGAGTGCATTCCTCTGCAGTGAGTTCCTCGGGGAAGTCAGACACCCTGATGAGCGCCGGCAGCTGCTCCTTCACCTGCCAGGATTTCATCTCCATGAAGAGCAGTCTGCTTCAGCTGAAACTGAGGCTGGGAAACACTCAGTCCCCAAATCAGGTAACAGCGTCCAAAACACGTCTCATTGATTCTGACAGCAACGTTTCTGATAGGGCCGTGGGTGTAAAGCCCGCCCACATTTTAGATATCACGTCATATCAGACGTAAATCTGGATCAGCTCCGTTGTTCCCCCGTTTTTAGAGATGTGGGTACGGAGGAAAAGAGAGAGGGTTTAGTTTTCTGACACTTTGTGAGTTCCCTGACACACCGGGGACACATATTTATGTATAAAAGACATCAAAAAGTGCATTTTGCTTGATAGGAGACCTTTAAGGGTGAAATAAATCCTACCTGGTTTTTCCTCCAGTACCACTAAAAGCTAATATATATATATATTCCCTCTCATGTCTGCAGGTTCCTGGCCTGGTTAACAGCAGTGACAAACCGTCTCTGAGGACAGGAAAGAGTCCGGACAGTTTCTCAGGACCTCCAGGACCTCCAGGAGCTCCAGGGGTCCCAGGTAACGTAGATATAACTGTAACAGTGAGGGTAGAAAAGAGGTAGAGTAGAAATAACTTTGAGGTTAGAAAAGAGGTAACATAGAAAGAACTGTAAATGTGAGGTTAGAAAAGAGGTAGAGTGGAAATAACTTTGAGGTTAGAAAAGAGGTAACGTAGAAAGAACTGTAAATGTGAGGTTAGAAAAGAGGTAGAGTAGAAATAACTGTGGGGCTCCAGATATGAGCACAATTTCAAGTTTTCAAGTTTCAAGGCTTTATTAGCCGCTTTCACACCATGTACTTTGCGGTACTTAGTCCCCGGTTCTTAGTCCCCCCGAACTTTTTAGTCCATGGGACTGTCCTAGTAGATCGCGTTCACACCGGAATAAGGGAGGATTAGGCAAATGAAGCCGCTGACGTCACTTCTTCTTCTACTGCTTTGGGTTTACTGGCAGGCCGCAAACAACTTCACGGCGTATACTGCCACTCGAAGTCCCGGAGTCCCCCGGAGTTGGGGGCTGGCTTCAGTAGAAGCTGCTGGTTAGCGTCTTCCGAGTAAATCGCCAGAAGCGCCGACACCTCCTCATCACTCCACCGCTCCCATGTTTTCTTTTGTGTTGCCATAAGTTAGTCTCTCTCCGTTGGTGCGCGGGGCTAATGCTAATGCTAATAATGCTAATGCGAGCAAATAAAATGGCGGCTTCACAAAACTTTTCGGAGTTTTACGGGGCGTGGTTTGCAATTAGCCCAGCCATCAGAAATTGTTAGTGTGGCCGACCAACACAGTCTCACGGCATTTCGTGTTATAGTCACGAAATTAATCTATTGATTCGTGTTCACCAACACGATTTCGCCATTTTTTTCGTGTCACACAGAACGATTTTAAAAGCAATGTAAATAATAACAAATTAGAAGGAAAAACTGATAAAAAAAATTACAGATTTAAGTATTCTGACACAGAACGATTTTAGAAGCAATGTATTTATATTGGTAGTATGTTTCGTGCCTGCACCAAATAATAACAAATTAGAAGGAAAAAAAGATGACATAAAATACAGAGCCATTTCTTTTCCTCACTGACGGCAAAAAAACTCAGACATTATACAATTTAAAATAAAAGGGATAGGGTTAGGCTTAGGGTAAGATATTGAGTAAGAACATGTGTTTATGAACCACACAGCTTCTGGTCTTCCAAGACCCGACCGGACAAAAAGACGTGTTGCAGGCACGAAACATACTACCAATAGAAATACATTGCATTTAAAATCGTTCTGTGTGACACGAAAAAAAGGTGAAAATCGTGTTGGTGAACACGAATCAATAGATTAAATTAATTTCGTGACTAATAACACGAAATGCCGTGAGACTGGGTTGGGCCGACACACCCACGAACCTTTTTCTCCCCAGAAAGTCCCTGCTCTCTAGCAGGAACTATCTGGGGTGAAAAGGTTTGCGCAAACTAGGGACTAGTTCCAGATCTTTTTGGTGTGAAAAGTACTCCGGTGTGAAAGCGCCTATTGTCATGTGCTACAGTGCAGATATGGCAAAAACAGATAAAATAGTGCAAGAGAATGTTTGATATGTTCAATTAAATACAAATGAAATAGAAATAATGCAAGAAGAGTCTATACAAGTAAATGGAATATGATATATTCGATAAATAATTAGCAAGATGCAATCAGATGAATGTTTATGGATGTTCTTTAAAAGGTTCAGGTGTTTAATAATCTTATGGCCTGTGGGATGAAACTGTCCTGGGAGAGCTTGCAATTAATGCAGTCAGTTTACAAGTTGATGAATAAGAGAAATGAAGAGGGTAGAGAGGAAACTTTAGAAAGTGTGTTGGAAAATAACACATCACATTTAGGCTGGCCAACATCATAGTCTCTGATCCCCATCGTTTGGTGCCATCTGTTGTTGTGACTTTGTAATTACATCAAAAAGTCTAGACCCTGAATATAAGACGACCCCTCTATCTATCTATCTGTCTATCTATCTATCTATCTATCTATCTATCTATCTATCTATCTATCCATCCATCTATCTATCTATCTATCTATCTATCTATCTATCTATCTATCTATCTATCTATCTATCTATCTATCTATCTATCTATCTATCTATCTATCTATCTATCTATCTATCTATCCATCCATCCATCCATCCATCCATCTATCTATCTATCTATCCATCCATCCATCCATCCATCTATCTATCTGTCCGTCCGTCCGTCCGTCCGTCCGTCCGTCCGTCCGTCCGTCCGTCCGTCCGTCCGTCCGTCCGTCCGTCCGTCCGTCCGTCCGTCCGTCCATCCATCCATCCATCCATCCATCCATCCATCCATCCATCCATCTATCTATCTATCTATCTATCTATCTATATAAAATATTCTTATATTCGGGTCAATAAAAGTAAGTGTGATTTTGATGCCTATCCTATTTTTAAAAGTTCCCCTCTCCTCCCAGGACACCCAGGGGAGCCGGGGAAGAGAGGGGACCCCGGGGACAGAGGTCTGCCGGGCCCTCGAGGTCCGAGGGGAAACATGGGGCCCGTGGGACCAGAACCGGACCTGAAGCACATGAAGAGGGGCCGCAGGGGGCCTGTGGTGAGAGGAAAAACTGTTTATATAATGTAGGGGGTTACCACGTCTGAGTTTCAGATTATTGACTCTAAGGAGCTCAAAGAAGTGTCTCAAAGCCTCAGTGTGTTCGATGATACAGGAAACATATGAATGTTAACTGGTGTTACATGAACAACCAACTTTATATCCACTGTGAGGTCACATGGTGCAGTCAGTTTTTACCTACCGTTTTAGAGCCTCAAGTTTGTCATTTTGGCCATCTTGATTTTTGGACAGGCTGACAGAGAGCTGAACAAGATGTCTTTTGACCTTTTAAAAAGAGTGTCCACTGGTCTTCATAACAAATGTCTTGTTATCTTGACTAACTTTCTAATTCATGTCTAATCGTACTTTCAGGGCTCCACTGGGGCGACAGGAACAGATGGACTCAAGGTCAATATCACACGTCTTTATTCCCCTCATTTGTGCTCTGAACTCTTGTCTTTATGTGTCTTTGTTTGCATGTGTAGTCTTCTACTGTCTACATGTGCCTTTAGCCACATCTCACTGACAGCTGGTATCTATAGATAAACATATAACAAGTCAACCTTAGCTGATTGGCACGTACAGCTCTTTTGTATCACACATGTTGAATTTGGTTTAATTTGGTCTCATCTACAGGGAGACCGAGGAACTCCAGGTCCCAGAGGTCCACCGGTAAGTTTACATTTCAAACTCACAGTTGATTCACAATTTAAAGCTACTGTATACATCTACTCATAAATAAGATTTAAAAAGCCACCGTTACATGTTCTAAGTTTATAACCTGCCTCGTTTATCCACATTTTGCAAACATGACATGACATTGAAATTGCAAATACAAAACTCTGCAACAAGCTGAAAAAACACAACGGAGACCAGGGGACACTAAAGAGTGACGCACACAGCTGGGAGACCAGGGGACACTAAAGAGTGACGCACACAGCTGGGAGACCAGGGGACACTAAAGAGTGACGCACACAGCTGGGAGACCAGGGGACACTAAAGAGTGACGCACACAGCTGGGAGACCAGGGGACACTAAAGAGTGACGCACACAGCTGGGAGACCAGGGGACACTAAAGAGTGACGCACACAGCTGGGAGACTAGGGGACACTAAAGAGTGACACACACAGCTGGGGGGACTCACACAGTGGCGGGAAGATGGCGGAGTGAGAAGTAACAACGTTGCAGGCTCGTAGAAAAAGTTTAGATTTTAGTCCTTGACTGTAAAACTAACAGGCAATAGCTTATTCATGATACACTTTAAGTTATTATAGAAGCTTAAATAGTCACATTTTACTTTAATTCTCCAGTTACCAACACTTTTGACATAAAGTGCCTGCTAGCATGACCGACCACGATTACAACTTAAAAGTTCTCCGTGAGGCGTGTGACGACTCGGATATTGAGGACATGGAAGCGGACAACTCTAAGGGACACAAAATAAATCGGGACCACACACCAACTAAAGGACCGAATCCAAAGAAATCGAAGGTTCACGGCGAAACACAAATGGCAGAGGATAGCAACAGCACCATTCTCCAGGCAATTCAAGTCTTATCCGGAAAAATGGATGAACAGACAGAGCTGTTAAGAAAGTTTGAAAAACGCATTGAAGCAAACACTGAAGCAGCTAAAGAAAATAAGAAAGACATTTCTGCTCTTCAGAAAAAGTTTGATGATCTTCTAAAAGATAACACTTTACTACGTAAGTCTGGCGAGGAGCAAGCCCGCTACAAACGGAGGTGGAATCTGAGGATGAATGGTCTGCCTGAAAAAGAAGGAGAAAACACAAGAGAAGCTGTGATCGGGATACTCACAAGAGTTGTTCCGCTGTCTGTGGAGAAGCTGCGTGACTCAGTGGACACTGTCCATCGGCTGGGTATGAAGGGTAATGCAGCTACTTCCAACAACACACCGCGGTCAATCATCATTCAGTTCGGGATGAGGACTGTTCGTGACGAGATCTGGAAAAAGTCCAAAGATGCGAGAGTCTGCAGCGAGATGCACATTCGTTTCAAAGAGGATTTCTCCAAGGAGGACCGGGAGGCTCGCTCCAAGCTGTGGCCACTGGTTCAAGAAGCCAGGAGAAAGGGGAAGAGAGCCTTTTTGAAGGAAGGCTTCGCGCTGATTGACAACAAAAGAGTGGACCCGGAATAAAGTGAAAAACACCGCAGTAATTAACTGGAAGGACAGGGAGCAGGTTTTCTGTCCTCAGTAGGTATGCTGAAGTTCTCAGTTTGAGTGTTTGATTGGACTTGTCTCAGGTTATATTCAAAATGTTGTGAGCTATTGCACTAAATATGTTTGTTAAGGGCTACGTTACTCACTCCTGCGCATCGATATAACATTCCTTTGCGCATTTTCTTAAAGATTCTATCTTTGCTCTTTCAATGTTATCTTTCATATCCTTAAATGCTAGGGGGCTAAAAAACAATGTGAAACGTAAGGCAATTTTTCTTTTTTGTAAGGAACAAAAAGCAAATTGTGTTTTTCTGCAAGAAACTCATTCTGCAGAGGCAGACACTAAGTTCTGGAAAGTACAATGGGGAGACAACATTTTTTTCAGCCATGGAACAACACATTCGGCTGGAGTGATGATTTTATTTAACAGGTTACCTGGAAATATAATTGACCACAGGAGTGATACAAACGGTCATTGGCTAATGGTTGTGACTGATGTTAATGGGTCTAATTACATACTGGTGTGTGTTTATGGGTATAACAGAAAGATTCAAAACAATAATTTTCTTTCAATCTTGTGCCAAAAATTAGAGGAATGGAAAGCACTTTATATGACTGATAAGATTATAATCGGAGGGGATTTTAATGTAGTTCCTGATGAGTGGTTAGATCGTCTTCCTTTAAGGGGACAATGTCATAATTTTAATGATTCTATTATTCACTTGGCCTCTAAACTTAATTTAACTGATGTTTGGAGAATAAATAATCCCTCAAAATCACAATATACCTGGTTTAACTCTTCTAACAATGGTCAGTGCTCTAGGCTCGATTATTGGTTAATCTCTACTAGTTTAACTAATAATGTCTCAAAGTGTGACATTTCAGCATCACCTCTGACGGATCACTGTGTCCTCTCTTTGTCCTTTTTACTATGCAACTTCAGTCCCAATCTTAAACCTATATGGAAATTCAATAATAGTCTTTTGGAGAATGCAGATTTTTGTAGAGAGATCAAACAACTGATAAAAGAAACTCTGGCTTTGGATATGTCATCTCTCAGTAAATGGGAATGGTTTAAATTTAGTGTGAGACAGATTGCGATAAAATCCTGTAAATACTCTTCTAGATTAAAGAAACAAAAACAACAAGAGATGACAAGTGCAATTAATAATTTATGCCTTAAAGCTGAGTTATCATTGGATGAGCAAATTCAACTGAACAATTTACAAACTCAATTAGACAACATGTATTTGGAAAAAGCAAAGGGAGCTTTTATTCGTTCGAGAGCCCGATGGATTGAGCAAGGAGAGAAAAACACTTCTTATTTCTTCAATCTTGAAAAGCAAAGACAAGTGAAAAAGAAAATCCAAAAACTGATTATTAATGATGTCACTATTGAAAATCAAGACCAGATAAATGAAGAAATTAGACTTTTTTATAGCAATTTATATAACTCAAAGTTTTCTAAAGAAAATTGTGATAACTTTTTTAGTAAAATTACAGAATTCAAAAAGACAATAGATTATTCTTTTAAACAGTATATGGACGATGGACTAAAAATTGAAGAATTAGATAGTGCATTACTGCAAATGTCTGGTGGCAAATCACCAGGGCTGGATGGTTTAACCATAGAGTTTTATAAATGTTTTTGGTCAGATGTGCGAGAAATGCTTTATAAGGCGTTCACAGATTGCATTTCAGCAGGAAACCTTTCGCCAACCATGAAACATGGCCTTATTACCTTAATTCCAAAACCAAATAAAAATAATCTTTTGTTGGATAATTGGAGACCTATTACCCTGTTATGTAATGATTACAAACTTTTAGCACATGTTTATGCTAACAGGTTAAACTCGGGTCTGAATCAACTAATAGATGAATGTCAATCAGCCTTTATAAAGGGCAGAAGTATTCATAACCATACCAGACTGATATTGGATATGCTTGATTACCAGGAGTTTATTGATACTGAAGGTCTCGTACTATTTCTGGATTTTTACAAGGCTTTTGATACTGTTGAACATTCCTTTTTAATGGAAACTCTGACATTTCTGGGTTTTGGTGAACATTTCTGCAACATAATTAGGATGCTCTACTCGGACATTTATAGTTCTGTATCTTTGAACCCTGGAATGAGCCCTAGGTTTAAGGTTTTACGTGGTATTCGACAGGGTTGTCCTATTTCCCCCAAATTATTTATTCTGACCACCCAAGTATTAACAACGCTTATTATAAAGAATCACAAAATATTAGGCATTACCCTCTTTGACAAAGAGTTCAAAATTAGTCAATTTGCGGATGACACATCCATTTTCCTAAAGAATAAATCCATGGTAAAGGAAACTCTTAACACAATTTCAATTTTTTCAAAAGCATCAGGGTTATCTCTTAATCTTTCAAAATGTGAATTACTCCCTATCCATTCATGTGATGATTCCACTATTGACTCTATTAGAGTGGTACCTGAGGTGAAATATTTGGGAATAACATTATCTAAAAATTATATCAGGAGAGAAGATCTTAATATTTGTAACCGTATCACAGATATGAAGAAATCTCTCAGTCGTTGGTTAACTAGAGATCTTACTATTTTTGGCAGAGTTCTTCTTACTAAAGCAGAAGGTATATCTAAACTTATTTATCCATGCCACTCATGTTTTGTCTCTTCGGCTAATATAAAAAAAGCCAACTCAATTATTTTCCAATTCTTGTGGAGAAATAAAACTCACTACATTAAAAAGTCACAGCTTGTTAAAGAATATGATAAAGGCGGAATTAAAGCTTTAGACTTTGAATCGATGATTGGAACAATTAAAATAAAATGGTTGAAAGCCTTTTTGTCCCAGCCAGAATCCATGTGGTTCCATATTCCAAAGGCCATATTTAAACGTCTAGGAGGGTTTGATTTTCTTTTAAAATGTGATTTTGAGGTTAATAAGATTCCGACCAAATTGTCAAATTTTCATAAGCAGATACTTCATTATTGGAAGATGATATTTACCCACAATTTTTCTCCTCATGGATCTACGTTATGGAACAATAGAGTGATTATCATAAACAGAAAATCCTTGTTTAGGAGTGATTGGCATGAGAGGGGTATTTTGTTTGTTAGAGATTTACTAGATTGCAATGGTAAACTGCTAGATTTTTTGGCCTTTTCAACGAAATACAATATAACGTGTACTGCTAAAGATTATAACAAAATCTGTAAAGCAATTCCTGTACCACTTATTGGAATGATTCATAATACTTTACTGTACTCAAATGTTGTATCAGTTTTACCTAATTTGGAAATTATTGGCGATACTCTTAAGAATAACAAATCTATTAATGCTTCCCTGAAATCCCACATTTTTCACAATTTTAACAGAGGCTTATTTCCTCAAGTGACCGATTTAGACACTTTATCTGTAATGGAAAAAGCTCTATCTTATTTTATAAAATGGCCTATTTCCCCTAAAGCAAAAGAAACTCATTTTAAAATTGTTCATAAAATCTACCCGGTTTCTACTTTTTTAAATTCAAGATTTAAATTTGAAGTGGAACCATGTTCCTTTTGTAATTTATCTGATGAATCGTTGGAACATTTATTTTTCTCTTGCCCCTTTTCTGAATTGTTTTGGTCGAATGTGAGAGATTGGTTGTTACTTAAATTAACAAATATTCCGGCCTTCAAAATATATCACATTTTATATTATATTGATAATTTGGACTCTCCCATTTCTGATTTGGTAAATATAATTATTATTTTGGGTAAATACCATTTACATTGTAGTAAATGGAGAGGAGGCAAGCCCTCCTTTCCCTGTTTCATAAATGAGTTCAAGTCCTTTTTTCTGTCCCTTAGAAAAATACAATCTTGTAACCTGTCTATAAAGATTTGCAATGACATTTCCAAATGGTTATTATTTTAAGTAAGCTTAATGCCTCTTAAATGTTTTTGTGCCTTTATGCTTTTTTCTTTCCCCCTGGCTCTTACTGGATGTATTAGTTATGTTTTTTTGTCTTATTGTGAATGAATGTCTTGAACTTATGTTGATAAGTTGATGATATCCTCACCGAGCTTTTGTATGTTTAAAAAAATGTTCAATAAAAAAAAATAAAAAAAAAAAAAAAAAAAAAAAAAACACACAGCTGGGAGACAAGGGGACACTAAAGAGTGACGCACACAGCTGGGAGACCAGGGGACACTAAAGAGTGACGCACACAGCTGGGAGACCAGGGGACACTAAAGAGTGACGCACACAGCTGGGAGACCAGGGGGACACTAAAGAGAGACGCACACAGCTGGGAGACCAGGGGACACTAAAGAGTGACGCACACAGCTGGGAGACCAGGGGACACTAAAGAGTGACGCACACAGCTGGGAGACCAGGGGACACTAAAGAGTGACGCACACAGCTGGGAGACCAGGGGGACACTAAAGAGAGACGCACACAGCTGGGAGACCAGGGGACACTAAAGAGTGACGCACACAGCTGGGAGACCAGGGGACACTAAAGAGTGACGCACACAGCTGGGAGACCAGGGGACACTAAAGAGTGACGCACACAGCAGGGACCGGAGCGCTTGGTGACGTTCAGGATTATAAAGCTGGTGACGTTCCGATCACATTGTTAAAAATAATCCTAAATGTTGGGTACGTCTCCAGTGACACTGTCCCCTGGTTTCCATTGTGTTTTGGGGCTTTGCACAAGGGTGCAGCCGTCGTCCAGCGGATTATTGGGCCTCACATCTCCAAAAAGGAAACCCAGATTACTGCTCCTCAAACCCAAATGATTCCTCAGGCTCATTAACCAATCCCTCTCTCCTCTCTCCTCTCTCCTCTCTCCTCTCTCCTCTCTCTCTCTCCTCTCTTCTCTCCTCTCTCCTCTCCTCTCTCCTCTCTCTCCTCTCTCCTCTCTCCTCTCTCCTCTCTTCTCTCCTCTCCCTCTCCTCTCTCCTCTTTCCTCTCCTCTCTCCTCCCTCCCAGGGCCCCCCCGGCTCCTTCGACTTCCTCCTGCTGATGATGGCCGACATCCGTAACGACATCATCGAGCTCCAGGAGAAGGTGTTCGGGGAGCGGAGGGGCATCACTCCGGATAACCCAACGCACTCCAGCGGGGAGATGGACTTTGTGGAGTGGGGCTCCGGACAGGGAGACCTCCTGCTGAGCACCTGAACCCCGACGTGAGAAACAAAGACTCTTTGGGAGGGAGAATCTGACACAGACAGTACAACTGAGAAGAAGAAGTGACTCTCTGAACCACTCCTTTTGTTACCTAAAGCCGGTATCTCGGCACCGAAACCGTAATTTCGAAAACACACCGGTGAGTTCTGACTTGGCTTGTTGTCAGCCGGTAACCAGCTGCCCAGACACTTCGAGGGAAAAAGATGAACGGGGCGTTCGGGTGCCGTGGGAAGAACCTCCTTTTATTAATGTTCTTCACAGTTAACAGTTAAACTGACACTGCATTACATACAACTAAGACTAGACACTTTTCCTTATCTGACCACTTTCTCTATCCCTCCGTCTCTCTCTTCATACCTCCGCACTTCGGCCATCACTTTTATACACACACAGACTCCAAAACCCACAACCCCTTGCGGCTGCTACTCTCAATAGTGACCGGCCAGGCCTGTAACAAATGAAAATTTGAGAGTGAGGGGAGTGTGTGAGGATTGAGGTGAGTGTGTGTTCAGGACACAGAGCGAGGAAGATTCGTATTTATGTCTGAACCACTTCAAAGGATGAACTTTATCGTCTGCATCCCTTCCTCTTCCTGAGTCTGCAGCCAATGGGAGCTCTGCAGCTCCCCTGAGGCGCCTTCAGGAGCTCATTCAGGACGTTTATGATTATTTCAATCCCAATCCTGTTGGACTAACTCAGAAATGTTTGAAGTATTTTTTTGTACAACTCAAGTTCAAGATCGTAAAACATTTAGCACAAAGTGTGTTCATATATTTAATTAAAGTGGACCTATCATGCTATATTTGAATAATAGAATGTAGGACCATACCTCTATAAGGCATATTTATACTTTTTTTTTTTCAAAATACCAAACATCATGCATTTTAGCCATGCCTCATTTTGCTCAATTTGACAATTTCTAGCTCTGGGCAGATTCAGTGAGAACAGCACCATCTACAGGCCTGGCATATGTACTACAGCGTCTCCAGCGCTTTCGAACGGCAATGTCGTGGTTGTCTCCTCCTGATTGGTGGAGTTGGCCCAATAGTCGTAGCGCCACTGTCCTGACGTCAGGACAGTGTTCAAATCTGGATCAGTTTTTATCAGATCCGTTGCAGCCCCTTTTTTAGAGATTTGGGTATGGAGGAAAATAGAGAGGGTTGTGTTTTCTGACACTTGGTGAGTTCCCTGGAACACCGGGGACACATATTCATGTAGAAAAGACGTACAAAAGTGCATTTTGCATGATAGGTCCCCTTTAAAGAGAGAGTGTAAATATGTAAGACTTCCAATGTTTGGACATTTTTCAAAGAGTAGAAGCTGCTTCTCAATCAGAGGACATATGACATTTGCATCAGGAATAAAATGACTCTTCCAACCAAAACACAGGCGTGGTGAGCGTGAATATATTCTGAATGATGGCCTGAAGGAACCAGATCCAGAGGGAAGAGGGTCTCACATGTTGTACTGGGAAGCACTCACTGCTCAATAAAGGTTTTTCTGACTCTAAATTTAAACTGTATACATGTTGATGTTTTATCAATGGTTCGTCCAATAGCAAAGACCTCATCAACACAATTCTCACAAAGAAGGGCCAAAGGTAAGTGCATCAAAAATGGTGTTGTCAAAATAAGAATGTGAGCAAAAACACAACACCAAAACAAAGAAGAGATGGCCATAAACAAACTAAATAAAGGAACCGTTTTTTTATATATGAAGAGAGTAAGAGGAGAAAATACCGTTCTCTGTCCGTCTAATAATTGTGAAACGACCACAAGCTGCCGGTTAGCTTAGTTTAGCATGAACACTTGAAAAAGGGGTGGATGTTTCCATTCTTAATGCTAACTTGAAGCTAAGCTAACCAGCTGCTGGTGTTGATATGTCTTCAGAGTTATTCTCAATGTCAGGTGAAAAGCTGGAGCTGAAACTGTTGCTTAATAAATAGAGAATAGACCGGACACAGGGCTTGCCAAGATTGACAGTACCAATTAGGAACCTGCCCAGTTATGCTCTGACCTTTATTGCTGTGACACCAGCTTGTTGACTATTACAAATATCATACAACCGTCGATAAAATCCTCATAACTCCTTCAGTATTTGTCAATTAGATCAGCTGCTTTTACGTCTTGAAGGACATTTTAATGTTGGATAAAGAAAGAAAGACAAGATATGACTATATCTGCTCCCTGAAGTGAAGCCTCTCCACCAGCAGAGGGCGCTAAATCACAGTTTATCTCCACTGCAGCTGAGGTGAGGAAACCAAAGTACGTTTTCACAGCTCAACATGTATAACAACCACCCTCAAAAGTGCTCATACTTTCCCGAAAACGCAGTGTGAAGTACGTTCATCACGGGGGAGCTTCTGCCCCCGGATCATTATCCTCTGGTGAACTGTAGCGTGGCTGAGTGTCGTTACAGAGGTGTGAGGAGCAGAGGTCAGAGGTCAAATGAACAGCTGGAGGGATGATTATAGACCACAGGCTGTCAGAGGGCCTGTCACAGCTCGAAGTCTGAAGATTAACACACACACACACACACACACACACACACACACACACACACACACACACACACACACACACACACACACACACAAACCATTTGATCTGTTCACCCTGTCTGGCCTTTCTCTTCGTCTGATCCTTTGATCCTGCAGATCTCAGTTAATTCTGCCCGGCTACTGTGTGTGTGTGTGTGTGTGTGTGTGTGTGTGTGTGTGTGTGTGTGTGTGTGTGTGTGTGTGTGTGTGTGTGTGTGTGTGTGTGTGTGCGCGCGCGTGCGTGCGTGCGTGCGCGTGCGTGCGTGCGTGCATGTGTGTGTCTTTTTACCAATAAATCCATGAATAGATAGATATTGATTATGTGTGTATGTTTATTGCCTGTCAGTGTTTAAGAAGAAGAAGAAGTTGTGTTGTGTTTACACACATTACGCAAACACAGAGGATATACATGCACACACACACAACCACATGCAGATAGGAGAGGTGGCAGAGCAGAGAGGCTGCCAGGTACCCGGCGCCAAGGGAGCAGTTTCGAGGTGAGGTGCCTTGCTCAAGGGCACCTCGGCAGTGGCCTTGGAGGTGAACTGGCACCTCTCCAGCTACCTCCATCTTCTTTTTGTGTTGGTCCGATCAGGACGTGAACCGGCGACCCTTCGGTTCCAAGACCAAGTCCCTAAAGACTGAGCAACTGCCCTATCTCTATCAATGTGTGTGTGTGTGTGTGTGTGTGTGTGTGTGTGTGTGTGTGTGTGTGTGTGTGTGTGTGTGTGTGTGTGTGTGTGTGTGTGTGTGTGTGTGTGTGTGTGTGTGTGTGTGTGTGTGTGTGTGTGTGTGTGTGTGTGTGTGTGTGTGTGTGTGCGCGTTCCTTGACAGCTCGTCTCACCTGAGGCCCCGCCCCCTGCCGTGCGGTCACTGCTTCGTTGCCGGGGCGACCAGGATCAGGAATAACAACATGAAACACATCAGAAGCAGCATGTCAGGGGGGGGGGTTATTATGTCACTTCCTCACCTCCACCTGTCAGAAGGAGGTCAGCAAAGGTCACGGAGAGGAAAAAGGTTCACACACACTACATCTGTCACCTCGAGGACAATCAACAGGAATCTGAAAAAGCCGAGAGTAGAAAAAAGTGAAAAAAACGACATTAAAAAAAACGATATTACATTTTTTTTTTTTTTAAACGAAAGTCGAAAAATGAAAAAAAAACAGACCAACGAAGTGAAAAAGACGACATCTCTTACAACTTGCTGCAGAACAGAGTGAGGGTCGAGTCTGAAATTAGACTTGAGTCACATCAGCTCCATTTACAACATTTAACCAGTGGTGTAAAATAACTCAGTACATTTACTCAAGTACAAATTTGAGGTACTTGTACTTTACTTGAGTATTTACATTTTATGCTACTCTGTACTTTTACTCCACTACAGTTCAGAGGTACATGGTGTACTTCTACTCCAATACATGTATTTAATACCTTTAGTTACTTTACAGATGTGGATGAATGATGTGAAATATAATCAAGTGTTAAATCAGACTTTAGTTCCACCTGGAGTAAATCCACAAGCTACCCTGCAGTATACAAAGTCATTCAAACTAGCTGCACCTTTACCAGCTTTGAGAACACTTTCATGATCAATCATTATAAAACATATCATATATATTATTCTGAAATGGACCAATCTGCACAATGACTACTTTTACTGTCGCTACTTTAACTATATTTTGATGATAATACTTTTCTACTTTTACTTGAGTAACATTTTGAATGCAGGACTTTTACTGTAACAGAGTATTCCTACACTCTGGTACTTCTACTTTTACTCAAGTACACGTCTGAGTACTTCTACTTTTACTCAAGTACAAGATCTGAGTACATCTACTTTTACTCAAGTACACGATCTGAGTACTTCTACTTTTACTCAAATACAAGATCTGAGTACTTCTACTTTTACTCGTACTACTATAGTAACTTAATAAATGTAGTGGAGTACAAAGTAGCATAAAATGGAAGTACTCAAGAAAAGTACAAGTACATTAACATTGTACTTAGGTAAGTACATTACATTACACCACTGATTTCTTGTTATCATTTCTCATACTGTATAAGAAAGGTATATGTGCACCATTTACTTTTGAATTCACAATACACAAACAATAGCCTCTTGATGTAATTACCGGTAAGTAATAATGTGTGAAAATCTGTCAGAAACAACCTGCTAAATATTTAAGATCGGCCAAAATTATAAATCCAAATCAGAAAATGTACATAAAAATACAGTGTTATAAAAAACATACTTACTCAATGTACAATGTATACCTATTTATTGAGATCCGTGCCAAATGAAATTCCAGCCGTGTGATTGGACGGTGATGATAGTTGTGTAACTGCTGGCATCTTCAGATCGGAATAAAGATACAGTAGATAATATTTGTCCAGATGTTTCCGAGTATGAGAGGAATGTCCTCACTGGCACACTGTGGCCATTCATAAAAACACCTCACGTGCGTGCGTGCGTGCGTGCGTCCGTGCGTGCGTGTGTGCGTGCGTGCGTGCGTGCTTATGAGAGTAGTCTGTGGGATTGTGTGGTTTGGAAGCAAAAGTGTATGTTCAGGTAAATTAATTCAGTTTTATATATCAGTATGTGGTGTCTACACTTTAAAGAGTCCTCTCCTGCTGATGTTCAGGTGTATATCAGTATGTAGTGTCTCTACTTTAAAGAGTCCTCTCCTGCTGATGTTCAGGTGTATATCAGTATGTAGTGTCTCTACTTTAAAGAGTCCTCTCCTGCTGATGTTCAGGTGTATATCAGTATGTGGTGTCTATACTTTAAAGAGTCCTCTCCTGCTGATGTTCAGGTGTATATCAGTATGTGGTGTCTATACATTAAAGAGTCCTCTCCTGCTGATGTGCAGGTGTATATCAGTATGTAGTGTCTCTACTTTAAAGAGTCCTCTCCTGATGATGTTCAGGTGTATATCAGTATGTGGTGTCTATACTTTAAAGAGTCCTCTCCTGCTGATGTTCAGGTGTATATCAGTATGTGGTGTCTATACTTTAAAGAGTCCTCTCCTGCTGATGTGCAGGTGTATATCAGTATGTAGTGTCTCTACTTTAAAGAGCCCTCTCCTGCTGATGTTCAGGTGTATATCAGTATGTAGTGTTTCTACTTTAAAGAGTCCTCTCCTGCTGATGTTCAGGTGTATATCAGTATGTAGTGTCTCTACTTTAAAGAGTCCTCTCCTGCTGATGTTCAGGTGTATATCAGTATGTGGTGTCTATACTTTAAAGAGTCCTCTCCTGCTGATGTTCAGGTGTATATCA